GAGGCCCATTTCTTTTATTTCGCCCTGGGCCAAAAAATACCCAGAGCCGGCCCTGGTATTTTGGATATTTATTGATTGCATGCATGGTTCAATAATTATTATTCTAACAAAAGATCACTTCAGAATTTCTACTTCTATAGAATATCTTCCCTTTCTTGTAAAGCTATAGTTTGTTTTTATGCCCTCTTCAACTGTAGATAAGTGTCAAATTGATGAACGCACAATTGTTTTAACTTGTTATGAAATCGAATTGTAGAAGTTACTTTTATCAATATTGAGTTTGACTTGAAATTGCTCCGGATTTTCTACTTTTATAGTATAGTTTGATGGTGCTTGTTTCTTTTCCTTGTTGCAATTTCCCTGTTTCTTTGTTTCATATAGGAACCCCAGAAATTAGAATCATTAATGGTACCTTGCAGTTCAATCCATACGTACCTCCATTCCAGCAGCACCTGCGAACTTCAGATTAAGGGAAGATCAAATGTCAGGAAGCACCATAAAAGGTGACACCTTATCAATGCTAATCTAGTTGTCCCATATTTCTTTCTTGGAAATAATTTGTGTCGAACAATTGCCAATCCTCTTCTTGTTGTCACTGTGAATCTATTTCCCGAAAAGCTCATATGAAATGAAGCTAGCACTATTTATATAGTATTTCAAAACCTTTTTGAACGTCAATACCATTGGACAATCTATTCTGCATATCTGGAAGAAGCTTTTGATTTATTTTCTGACATGTTGAATTCATGGTATGTACTAGTAATGGCATACTAAAACTGGAACATACTTTTGCAGCACCACGTTCATTTTTTTCACTATCATCGTTCAGAAGCAAGGTAGCGAGAACAAGCCTAGAAAAACCCCATATCAAGGAAAGTTCAGAACAATTGCTTGGAATCAGCCATAAACAGTAGATATGTAAAAGATACAGATCCTCATATCAAGGTAGATGCGATACGATGAACGGTATGACGCCTACAGAGGGACTTTGTAAATTTTGATGGAGTCGTGAAGCTTTCTTCATAATCTGGTAGGTTTTGTATTGTTGTGTTGAGATATGTTGAGAAGCATTCTTTTTGTTCTTACTAATTTGCTAGTCCCTTGTATATCAAACATTGAACTCTTTGTTACTCACGAGTTAACTAACAATGCGGAGTAAAGTAAAAACCACTTTTTTTCTTCTAAATTCACAAAAATGGATCTTACTAAACGACTCTACTTTGTAACAATCCAAACTATTATAAAAGAAAATTCACAAAAATAAAATCGGTAATATCCAATTATTTACCACTCAAAAGAAGACAAAAGTGAAACCTCTCAATACCACCGGACATATCAGACAATTTTTGAATTTTTGAGTAGCTTTAAAAATGTCACTACATTCTTTTAAAACAATTTTTTAATAATAGATATTATATTTCTAAAACTTATTGTTAGTTTTTTTTATGAGAATTCGTTAGATTTGTTAAATTTACAATTTTGTAACAAAATCTAACATTTAATGTTATTTTATAATAACATCTAAAATTTAGTATTCAATCTATAACGTTTGAAAGTTAATTGCTCAGAAAGATGTTTTTGGGATAGTCGAGTGACCATTTTAAACTTTACCCAATATATTTTACCTCTCTCCTTTCATTTTCGCCTCTTAAAGACTGTCGGATCACAGGCCGTCCCTCTGCCTCAGATCGTTGAAATCGAGAAGAAATCCATAGATCCATATTCTATATAGCCAGGTACTCCTACAATTCCGATATTTTTCGCTCACCAATTCGTAAATATTATAATTTTTTTGAACGAAACTATTTGCTATGTTTGCATTGGTGTGAAAATTCTTCAGAATATGAGAATTTTTTTTATCTTCAACTTAATTTGTGGATTTTTTTGGAATTTCAGAAAAATGATATTTGTTTGTTAGATCGTGACTATATTGATTACATAGGTTGTCTTTGGTCACATTAATGTCCTTTCTTTTATTAGAAAAGGAAAATTGGCTTGATCTTTCTTTTGATCGATTGCGGGAGTTCGGTGAATTTTGGGATTATTGTATTATGTATTACTAGAATCAAGTTATATATTTTATTTGATTAATGTCCATGGGTTGAAATAATATTTGTGGGACTGAAGATGTTGTATTGTCGTCATTGTGATGGTCAGTTGTTTGTACCATTAAGATTTGCGAACCAAATTATCAAAATATAGGCAATTGGTATTTGTTGCATCCGTATATGCTTGTTTTAAAGAAATCTGAATATTATATTATGGAATTTGGGTTTAGTTTTGGGTTAAAATTTCTAGTTTAAGTCTAATCAGGGTGTTAATTTTGCTTCTATATTAGTTTGAACAGATTTTTTGTATCTGATAAATAGGGGAGTAAAGATGGTAAAAATGACAATGATTGCTCGTGTTACCGATGGTCTTCCTCTGGCTGAGGGACTCGATGATGGTCGTGATCTGGCAGATGCTGAGATGTACAAGCAGCAAGTTAAGGCTTTATTTAAGAATCTGTCCAAAGGCCATAATGAAGCTTCAAGGATGTCTATTGAAACCGGCCCCTATGTGTTCCAGGATCCCTTTGGTGGTGTCAATTTTTTGAATATATTTTTAGTTATTCAATAGGCTTGTTTTTTCACGGTTTTTGGTATTAGCATCAAACTTTTATTGTTACATTTGACCTAATTTCCTAGCTATATCATTGAAGGACGTGTTTGTTACTTGACAATGTGTGACCGTGCTTATCCTAAGAAGCTTCCCTTTCAATATCTGGAAGACCTCAAGAATGAATTTGAGCCTGCTTGAAACAGCTGCCAGGCCTTATGCCTTTATTAAATTTGGTAAGCCTCTTTTCTCTATTGTTTGGCTTTTCTTCTTTTTTCCACCTAGGCAAGTAGTATTTCTTCTACTTTGTTTTGTGCTGCTCTCTTGCTAGGCTTGATTTTATCTTCTTTTTTTTTTGTCTTTAAGATACATTCATACAGAAGACGAAGAAATTGTACCTGGACACTCGTACTCAACGTAATATTGCAAAGCTGAATGATGAACTCTATGAAGTTCATCAAATAATGACGCGTAATGTACAAGAAGTTCTCGGTGTTGGTGAAAAGCTGGACCGTAAGTTCAGGATTATGCTAGGCTATAATATTATAGTATATTATATTTGATAATTAATTAAGCTTTTTGTTTGAATCAATGCACCATGATGAACGTTTAGATTTTACAATCATGACCTAGGTAACTGTGGTTTTACAATTTTAGGCATAGTGCATCTTTTTGTATTGCATCTACTAGTTGGGGGGGGGGTGGATCGGCTGTTGCCTCTATATCTGTTTCTGCCTGCATGCTTTAAATTTCATAAATTACCCTTAATTGGTAATACACGTTTGAACATGAACTGGTAACTGGATGATAGAGTTAATTATGGTTACACCTTGTAGCCGCCTTAGCTTACTTGTATGTATTGCCATCAATTTGAAGTCGCTTAATAGTGTTTCTTCTTTATTGATGGTTTAATATTGTGCTACCTCCATCTTTTTTTTCACTGGCTGATAGATTGTATCTTTGTTTATGTATGCATTTAACTTTTTCTTTTATGCGGATGACACAGGTAAGCCAAATGTCCAGTCGCTTGACATCAGAATCTCGTATATATGCTGACAAGGCAAGAGATTTAAATAGGCAGGTTAGTTGTCTTTATATGAGGGCATCTCTCTCTCTCTCCCTCTCATTCTCTAACTGCTTTTCTGTTAGACGTTAGGTTTTGCCTTTGACTTTGTTCAAGGTACTTGAGCTGTACAGCAAAGTTATGTTCTTGGTGTTAAACATAGTTGATTAATAGATTAGTTATGTTCTTTATATGTGTTTCCCCCTTGAACAAAGTTTGATACTTGGTTATGTGTTTCCTTTTGCGTGTAGGCTTTGATTCGTAAGTGGGCTCCTGTTGCCATTGTGTTGGGAGTTGTCTTCCTTCTCTTCTGGGTGAAAACAAAGTTATGGTGATTCAACTATGCTCCATAGTGTTAAGAACTCGTCAGAATTCGTTGGGCTTCCCTGTTGCTTTGAGCAGCTTCTTGCCACACCCATAGACCGAACATTGGAGTGAATTCTGCTTTTTCTTCATCACACAATTTTCTGCGAAGTCGTAGGTACAAATCTGGAATTGTGAAAGAGTGACCATAGCTGTAGAGCATATGGTCAAAACAAAACTATTCTTTCTACATGTGAAAGCCAGAATTCAGCATCCAAATAGTAAACTTAGGTATTATCAACTTATTCTAGTGTTTCACTTTGTCCAAGTTTTTGTTAGCTAATTTACGTACCGAGTCACCACAAGTTTGGGCTCACTAGCTTAAACTACAGCAGTAACTCATGCCTGTTTGTGTTGCCTATATTTGAGAAGAAAACCCCAGATTTATCTTTCCTTAATTGCTAATTGGCGTGCTGGATTGACCACATTAATTGCTGCATAGCTTCCACAGCATCTGTAGCTCCCTTCAGGCGTGGCTGGTCAATTATTTAAAGCCAAAATGAGCCAATTATAATTTGTAATTTTTGCATTAAGATTGAGGCTGCTCTTGCATTTGTCAAAATTTTCTCAATATTATGAACTGTCCCTTCCCAGGCATCTGAAGTAGGGATAGGGATAGGTCGGTTTCTGGCCAACTTCACTCGGAAAAAATAACCTTCTCCAGTCAAAATCTGATTTGACCAATATTTAGGAAAATTTCACCTGTTTCAAAATTACTCGTTTTTTTGGATTAAACTAAATTCATTCGTACATACATATATAATTTTTATTCAATAAAATAAGGATTTAATTGAAAAAATATATAGAAAATGAAATTATTATAATTATTCTTAAATATATAAAAATTATTATAATTATTAGGACATTTTAGTAACAAAAGAGACGTGCCTCTATTGACATTTAATTCCGTATTCAAACCACAGAAGAAATTGTAATATTCAGTGAAAATCGAGATTAGCAAAGTTTGTCCAGACTGCAATTGTAAGAACTGAGAAAATTAATGAAAGGTGCAAATACAATCATAATAACTATGAAATGTATTATTTTGGGAAGAGGGTATTCAATTTCAAACCCATAACTTTAGATAACAAATAGGCACACCAACTAGTCTAGTGCTACACTTATTTTTACATAAAACGAAAAATCCTAGGACGACAAGGGAAAGCGACCCATCATTGTAAATAGTCTGTTATAGCTAGGCACCTAGTCGGCTAGAGTATTGGAACAAACATTAACCGTTTCCTTTTCAACAAACCAAACTGCTTTCACAGACTGATGCTGGTCTGTCTGCAAAATTAGTTTTAAACGTTCTTTCACGAGAGGGATAGCTTGGCACTGAGGCGGCTCTAGAATTAGTATAATAAGATGATACTGCACAGAACATGTTATGTATTTCCACCAGAGTTGCTTTTGTTCCCACCAAGCTCCATAGGAGAATTTGCGATGCTACTAACTGAGCCAAGGGTCTGAGAGCTCAACTGTGGGCTGGGTGGACAAGCCTCTGGGTTACAAGCACTTAATGCATGAATAGCACCTGAGCTCAGTTGGGGACTCATGGGAGTCCTTTGATTCATTTGTTGTGGGCTGGCCTGTTGCTGGGCCTGCTGTGGCTGAGGTGGTTGATTCATTTGTGAAATTCCAATGGTTGATGGCGAGCCTACCTGTGAAGGTGATACGACAGCCTGTAGTGGTGAGGTTGTTTCTTGCTGCTGCGGTTGTTGTTGTAATTGCTGCTGCTGCAGCTGTTGTTGTTGCCGTTGATGCAGCTGCTGCTGCAATTGCAACTGTTGCTGTTGTTGCTGCAATTGCAACTGTTGCTGCTGTTGTTGCTGCAATTGCAACTGTTGCTGCTGCTGTTGTTGCTGCTGCTGGTTCATGTAAAGGTGGTTCATCCCAGACATTATTTTTGGAGGACCCATGGACCCCATAGCAGTCCTTTGCATCGAACTCATGTTAGCCTGGTTCAGATTCTGGCCCAGCATAGAAAGGGTAGCAGAACCTGGATGCATCTGTCTGGCTCCAGATATCCCACTGATGCTCGATTGAGGACCACCTAACATGTTTCCTCGGCCCATCCTTAATTTTGAAATTAAGGCAGCTTGGGGTGTTGTTAGTGCACCAGATCGAAGCTGCTGGGATATCGCATTGGTTATATTTGCACCCGGAAGATTCATTGGGTTTTGGCCCACATTTCCCATGCCAGAAATAGCAGTCATTGGAGCTGATATTCCTGTTCCACCAATCCCACTTGCACCTCCAATTCCAGCGGTATTGCCCAGGCCTCCAATTCTGACCATATTTCCCATGCCTACAGCTCCACCTAGTCCCATCATTTTCCTCTGCATTTGTACCTGCTGCTGCGATGGCTGCTGCTGCTGCTGCTGTTGTTGTTGTTGCAATTGCTGCTGCTGCTGTTGCTGCTGTATCATCTGAAGTTGGAGAGCTGAAGATTTGTTGACCATTTGATTACCCAAATGCATGCTTGAATTCTGCCCAATGGCATTCAAATGTGAGAGAGGATTTGATGTAAGCATCATTGGTGATCTCTGGAACTGCTGATGCTGTTGTTGAAGCAAAGTGTGCTGTTGACTTTGCTGCTGCTGCTGCTGCTGTTGCTGTTGCGGTTGTGGATCTAGTTGTGATGGCCTTGCAGGCATTGAAACCCCAGACACTAGTCCTTGGGACATCTGTAAGGCCTGAGGGTTTCCAGGAGGCAACATCCTACTGTTTCCTAGAGCACTCGAAGATGGATTTAAAGAAATATTATTACCGCTATTCTGCTTTGCCACCTCATTGATTGCTTGACCTGGAACAGCTTCAGGATACTGCTGCATAGTATGCTGCATATCGCCTGCAGAATTGTTGGGAAAAGCTACAGCAGGATTTGGTTGACTGCTTGAGGCCATAAGCACACGAGTTGGTTTTGCCTGAACATTATCTTCCAAAAGGTGATGTCCTTCACGTAGCATCTGCATCCACAAGTTAAAAAGAAGAGAGAGAAAAAAAGCAAGCAAAATCATTATTTTAACCTAAAATCTCAAACTCTGAATATTAGAGACTATTAGCTGACATACCAGTGAACAAAACTGCGCCGCAAATAAGTCAGCCATGTACTGTTGCAGGATTTAATGAGATACATGTCAGAACAACAGCATAAGAATTCTTATATGGATAAGAAGAGTAGGAAGATTAAAGATTTGATTTTACAAACTTCAAATTGCAGTGTAGCAGACGTTCATTATACTGTTAGCAATTTGTCCCTTTAACTTAATGGTAAACCCAGAATGGGATGCATAAAATACCATCCTAAGAGAGACTTTCTTAATGAGACAAGGGCATAATTGATGGTCCTTCTAGTCTTCTCAATATGGTTAAAGTCTGAGCCTGAGTTTAACAAAACTCAATGTAGGCTCCAAAAGGGAACATGAGTTGAAAAGAACATGGTGAGAAATATCTAAATTCACAGGGAAGTTAGATTAGTTGACGTAGACCTTCAGGACATCCTCCAAGATGTCCAAATGAAAACCAAGACTATGTTGAATGAGCACCAAAGATAATATGTTTTCAAGACAACAATAACCACCCAAAAGCACCCAAAAGATCCATTAATCAAGAAGGGGGTTTTAATGAGGCCTGAAATTCTTATAAAAAAAAAATAAGCACCCAAAAGCAGAACAATCAAAATATAGGAGATAAGTGTAGTAAGAGAGAGAAACTAGAAAAAGACGAAAAAAAACTAAAATAAATTGATGGCAGAGATTTGCTTTTGCCACCCGAGGTCAGGCAGTTTTCAATTTGTCTAAAAGGCATATTCTTATTTCAGCAAGAAGTAAATAAACTTACAGTATTAGGAAGCGTAGGAAGGTGGGAAATATGATCCTCTGCACTAAGAATTTCACCATCATCTATGTCTCCAGAAAACATCGCTACAGTCCCATCAGTTGGTTTCTCAGACATTACCATTCTAGTTCTTACCCTAGGAACTAGAGAAACGAGATTCCCTATCAAAATAGAGCAAAGTCAATGCAAGGGAAATGAACCATAAATATTTATTTATGAAAGACCAGAATCTGAGATAGAACAACAAAGAAAACCTTGAAAAGCACACTCACCCTGTACAAAATTCAAGATTCTTTTTTTGCAGGTATTCATACTTCCACCAATAAGTGACTTTGATAGTGGATTCAATTCGTCTTTCAAGTCCTCATTACTGGAAAGACTGGTTAGACAGGCTGACATTAGTTGAGGAGAATGTGAGCTGGGTTTCCGGACATGGTACTCATCAACCTTGTTCTTTTTTCTGTTGAATTGATACCTGGAATCAAAACCAAAAAATGAATATTGCCATCCACACAACATTTAACAGGAAATGACAAGCCATTAGTTTTACTTGTTAAAAACAAGGAATAACATATAACCGAGCAGGTCCCGAGTTCATTTTCTGGTCTGCAACAGGACAAAATGGGAAAAAAGCAAGTAGAGCACGCTTCATGTAAATAAGAGGCACTAGAGCCCTGTTAAGTTTCACAAAGATGATGCTAGCACTATATACAGAATGGAAACACAATTGTATTTAATCAATGGCTAGAAATCAATCAAAAAACTCCAATGCAGAAATAATTCAATCAACATCATACCTCATAGTAACAATTTCAATCTTTGAGAACCTTTCAAGCATTGTTTGATCACCCAAAGGTGGGGTACCAACGGAAGGACTGCTTGCATTTAATGGAACACTCATATTGCTAACACTTGCGGGAGATCCAACTGCGTTTATTACAGGTGTTTTGGAGAGGGAATTTGATCTTCTCTTAGCAGCAGATTGAGCCTGGTGTTGCCGTTGCATAGAGTCATTTGCACTTGAAGTCAAAGATGGGGTACCACCAACAGCAGGAACTGAGTTGACAGCTTTCTCCTTTAGAGATGCTCCAAAGTGAGGTCCTACAGGACCACTTAAAAATTCCCCAGATTTTGATGATAGCGGAGATTGAGGCAAAGCTCCACTTGATAAACGTGGGCTTTGCACTAATTTCCTTTTTTGGAATTCTTCCTTTCTCGCATCTTTCTCGAAATGCTGATTAATGTTGTTCCAAGTTGTTTGAGGGAAACCAGGTCTTGCAAATCCATGCAATGATCTTTGTTGAAGGCGTGTCTGCTGTGGGTCCAAATGGTTTGCATCAGTTTCCCGGTTCAGCTCAGAGCCATCCAACTTGTCAGTAGAATCAAATGGCTCTTCCTTAGCACCATATCTCAATGCTTGATGTCCTGCAGCAAATGGCATTGCACCAGCCTCCTGATTCAGAACCCCTTCAAAAACCTGCTGAGGGTGCTTCTGCATGCCCGTATTTGCATACTGAATTCCTCTTGCAATTGTTTGTTGGGGAAGTAATATATTCTTCCAGCTCATATCCTGTCCATGCAGGCCATCCATATGTGGCCCAACTTGTTGCTGTTGCATCCCGTCTGCGCCAATAGCATTAAGTCTAGTTCTTTTACTAAGGCCAGATAAAGGTGACATTGGACCATCTAGGTTCTCCCTCTTCCCAAGAAGAGAACCACCAGAGTTTATGTTGTCAGTGTACGACATTGTCACGTCCTGCCCAACAAGGGAGGCAGCTGATGCACTGACAAAAGAGCTAGACCCATGATCCTGCATGCTCCTAGCATTCGCAAGCCCCATCTGATACCTTGGTGACTGTGATGCCATGGGTAGTGCTGGAATGGATGAATCTTGCACAAAACTTTTAGGTCTTAATCCCAGCATATTGCTCGGACCAATACTTTGAGAAATCAGATTTTCCTGTTGTAGCATCAAACTCCCTGAAACAATTCCAGCCTCTCCCAACCTGCCATTAGAGCTTTCTGTCACTCTGTCTATGTAAACCTTATTTCCATGTATCTTACTAGTAGAGGTGACTGTAACTTCTGGAGTCTGCCTCAATCTCTTTCTCCTCAAGCTACATGAAGCAAGGTCAAGCTGCAATTTGGACATGGTTAAGAAAGACAAAACTGAATGCTCAAAGAAGACGAAACAGGCATTACTTTGTGAACACATCACCTTAGTTGGAACAGGGTTAGTACAGAGTCTGTCCAGTTTGGGAGTGGGATCTAAACAAAGTTGTGGTTGCAAGGCTTTCAATATCCGAGACTCTGCTTCCTGCAGTCAAAAGGGATTAAATGTATAACAGGTTTGCAACATGTACAGCAGTCATTTACAAAGGATGAGAGAGCTGTCAATATGTACCATCAAATCACCATATGTCCATGAATTATCTGAGATCAATGGAATATCCTTCACTACATTCTCCAAAGACATCTTAAGACACACTTTCTTGATGATAGGGGATCCATCAATTGGTGGGGTGTTAGATCCTTGATGAGGTGCAACTTTCCGATAATCACGCACCTTCAAAAGAAAACACGAATTTTAAGTGAAATATGATTACATTCAATGCACATTAACATTATTCGTGCTATAATAGTAGTTGGTAGCAATAAAATAAGAAAAAACTGATACACCCTTAGCTCCCTTCTCAGATTCACCAACAAAGAAGTCAAAAGTTATTTGACCACAACAGCAAGGGGGGGATTAGAGGGAAAAATAATAGGAAAGCAGAGATGGTGCTCTTGCTAGCAATTTGTGAGTACAATCTTGTCCATAAACTGCGGTATAGAGCTGGGTTCAAGGCCAGTTCAAGTGAGTTGAGACTTGGCTTTTGTAAACACATACGTTAAAACATTTGGTAACTGAAAGGAAATAACACAGATCAAGGGAACATCCTAGAATATGATTGACTTATAAGATGAAAGGATAATTATGATAAGTTATAACTCACCTCACATATGAGTGTCCCATCAACATATTTGCAAGGTATATCATCCAAAATATCTCCAGGCAACCGGCCAGATTCAATTGCCTACAAGTGCGTTCAGAAACAAATGAGGAAATAAATTATAAGTAGAGCTTATACAGGAAAAAAACTTGGTAAAAAGAAATTTAGAGTAATAATAATGCTGCAGTTTAAAGGAAATATTAAGTAATAGCCTCATTAAATTAAGACAAAATTATTCCTGATACCCCAATGATTCTGTTTCTCAAACCAAGTTCCAAGAGATGAGTGGGTTAACTCCACCAGCAAACCAATCAAAATCACAGATGCCGAATTGGATGCAACTTCTAGTACTTGTTTTTTTTAAATTTAAAAAACTTGTGTTTAGCTAAAAAAAAAAGGTAAATAGTAAAAAGCAAAATTATAGTTAATCAAACATGAATAAATGGCTACAATGTTGCAAAAATTCCACAATCATGCTTGTAAGTAAAAAAAATGGTTTCCATATCAATGGAGGTCTTCCTCCCCCCCCTTTGAAAATATAGTTTTCTTGCAGATAAAGAGCAATTGTTTCAATGTAGCAAAAATAAGAACTAGACAAAGTTACATTGATCAAAGTTCAATTTCTCCCACCTTTCAAAGAATATTAATGAATTAGCTAATCCCAACTCCCAAGCCGAAATAGAAGAAGATTAAGACAAATTACCAGGCAACATAGAATTATGGCCAAGTATCTTTGGACAATGTTTCCTCAGATCATTAAAACATGAACATGGTCATCAGACACACTACTAGTCAACTCAACATTTACAGACAATTAAAGCAAAGAATAAGCTATAAAATGGAAAACAGAGATCACGCTATCCCATCCACCAAGGCTAATGAATCTGAGAATTCTTTTGCTAACTGCACTGAAGGCCTCCGTTAATCAAGCCATTTAAATTGAAGATTTATAGTTTTTACTGTCCAACAACTAACTTCCCCAATGCGCACTCCAAACAAAATTGATGTAGAAGACAAAAATTTACAAAGGTGTAGAAATAACCATTAAGATGAAAGTTGACCTTAAATAGACAAAAACTGAAAGCAGAAAAATAAATATGTTTCGTTAAAAACTTACTGCAAAGAGAGTTTCAGATGACCTATCATATGGATGCAACTTTGGAGCATCCGGAATGGTATGCAAAGCTTCCTGAAAATTCAACAATTGCTTTAACTTTAAAATGACTTAAAAGATAGAAACAAAAGAATCTTTCATTTTAGTAAACTTTTTCCAGAGAAAATAGTATCCTCAATATTGTCTTGAACGAACCTCTTGGGGCTTTCCAATAGAATAGCCATCTGGGTAAAGATTCAAGGTGAAGGAAATTTCATGGTCTGCAAAAACAAGAAAGAACAAAAAAACATGCTCAAAATTCGAACATTATCAACAATCAGGAGAGGGGAAAATAAAATCAAAACACAGTAATGGTTTTGAAGCTTTACTGACTCTAACCTGCAGGAACACGATGCGTTTCATCAGAAATTATTGATTGAGACGCCCCAGGAACACGCTCAATGCCTTCAACAATATCACCCTGGATCAACACAAACACACACAAAAATCAAATAATCAGACTATTACAAAAATGAAAAAAAAACATAAAAACTAATTTACTTTGGCCATTCCTCTTCTCTTAATTATGGACTATGAATCAAATAAAGAGAGAAAGTGTACTGAAATTAGAACTTATATCAGTTATTAAGGAAATTAAAACTGTACAAAATGGCCTGACGGCCTTACCTATAGTACCTGTTTTAATAAAGCAGGGCAATTCATGAAATCAAGCTCATGCTTTAGCTTAAAACTTGACTGTAAAGTTTTAAATGAATAGAACATTATAAAAAAAAAACTCTTAAGCAATTCAATTTTATCTCAATTCTATCTCAATTCTATCAGCAACCAATAAGCAAAAAATATAGTTCCACAGAATAAAAATACAATTATAATGAGTATATTTTAAAAAATGAAAGTACAAGCTGCGGGATCTGCTCAACGGAACAGACCTATAATTTCCGTCCACCAACAATTTCTCCTTTTTAACAATAGTTTTTTTAACAAACGCGAAGGGAAAAATGGGTATATATAAAATTTACCTGGAGCTTTCTAGACCGTGAGCTCTCTTTAGAATTCTTAGAGACAACATCAACTGAATCCTCCGATTGAAAACAAGGCTTGGGCTTGTACCTAGAACCAATTTTTGATACCTTAAACGTAACACCCATGTCAAACTCTTTTCTGCTTTAACAGAATCAAACCATGAGAAGCTGAGATTTAATGGGTTTTGTCTGGATCAGGAAAGAGAAAGGAAAATATTGAATCTTCAGACAATTAAAGAACCCAGAATTGAGTTATTGAGTAAAAGAGTTGAGAAAAAAATAGAAAGTTCGTACAAAACGAAAGAGATTGAAGTAATCCTTGGTTGGGTATTGAAATACTAAAGGACGTGTTTGGCTGAGGGGAAAGTGGAGAAAATATTAAAAAACCGTACATATTACCTATAAAGAGAGTGACGGTAATAAAATTTAAATTTGATATGACAAGATAAAACTTTAAATCTCAATCATTTTTATTAACACTTCATTCACATTAAACATATATTTGATTATCAATATTTATATATTTTATAAATTTAATTTTAATATTAAACTAAACTTAATCTTGTATTTTATAAAGGAGAGAACGATTTTTTTTAGAGAAAAGTGTTTATTAAAATATTAAAATTTTAATAGTGTTAATTTGACAGTATAATGTACTATATATTAATTTGATATTATTTATTTTACATATTATATCAATAAATAAATTTAAATTATAATAAAAATTTGAAGTTATTCTACAATTTTAAAAATAAAAGAATATAAATTATTAGTATATATTATCATGTTAGCTCAATTATAAATTTGGTGTTATAATCAATGGTTGTTAAAAATATTAAAAAATTTAAGAATCAAATTAAAAGAAATTAAAGAATAATAGTAATTAAAAATAAAATAACTAAACTAATGAAAATTTAAACTTTGAGAATTAAATTTATAATTTATCTGTCAAATAATATAAATGTTAGTAATAAGTTGTTTTGATGCAAGCAAACAGTGTTTAATGTAAAGTTTTGGGAGGTCAAATGTCGAATTCTGGCACACCTCTACTTTTTTAGAAATATTTATATGAATTAGTTGTAATATGAGACAGGGTGGGTGATTGAGTAAATGGTGGAAAAGAAACTATTATTGTATGATAATGTTGGAGTGAATTTAGATGGTTGAACCTTTTTTACATGTAAAGTAGGAAACTTTGGACAATCCTTTGAAGATGTTAATGGAACAACTGATGAAGAGAGACTTACTACATTGTCAAATACAACTGTTATATGCTCTTGAGGTTTTAGCAATACCCGATTGAGAAGGAGAGGACTCTGGAAATACAGAGCAATCGCTGACCACTACCACTCAGCTCACAAGGCCGGGAAATTCATCAGGCTGATGCATATCCCTCCATTGTCGCCTTTAAATGTATTTCCAAACTGTCGCGGATATTCCCTTTTTCTCCCACCTTTGGCATTACAGTTTAGTATTTCAGACACTGAAATTGTGAGTTCAACAATGATTTTGATGGACATTGCATTTTAATTCTATGTTTCCTACAAAGATATGAACCCCATTTCAAACAACCAGAAAAAGAACCCTTACAGATATAACAAGAAAAGAAATACCAGGTATGTACAAGTAGACTGCAGAGAAAGCTTGTAACATTCTCAATATCGGGCTAGTGACCTAAAGGTGAATTTTGAAAGCATTGTGTTCAATTTCGAAATAAGTTAAAAAGTTCAGAATTTTAATTGGAAAATTTTGAGGTTGGATTTAATAGTAAAGTTTGAAAGTAATAAGGGTATTATGGTCTTTTCTAAGAGAAGATTTTTATTTCTCATTTAGGGGATATAAAAACGTGGGAAATGAGGGAAATGAGTTTCCAGAGTTTTCTTCTTCTCCTTTCTTCTTCACTCGTGGAAGCCAAGAGCAAAGGTGAAAATTTTTATTAGTTGATTATTATTTGAATTCTAAGTTGGTTTTGATTATTTGGAAAGTAAGAAAGCTTAAAGAAGTCTAAAGATAAGTGAAAACTCAAAGATGAAGATGTTAGAAGAGATTAAAGAAAATGGGTTTTTAAGTGAAATTTTGAATAAGAAGGTTTAAATGAATTTGGAGGATGAATTTGACTTGTCATCTATAAGAATAAGAAGTTAGAAGTGTTAGAATTAAGTTTGGATAACATGGAAAATTTGGTATGATTATTGATTTCCATATGAAAGATGAAATTTTGAGGTTAAATATGAGATAAATGAATATTAATGAGTTTAAGTACGTATATGTAAGTTAGGAATATGAAAAGGGAGGAAATATGAAAGATTTAATCCAAAAATAATAAATTTTTGGGTTCAAAAAGAGGATTATGGGCAGAGTGCATCGATGCATATTCATAGTGCACCGATGCATCAAGGTTAAAACCCATAAATTGTTTGAAGGTGTATCGATGCACAGGTAGTGCATCGATGCACTCTTTTAAAATACAAACATCGAATGTATTTTGTGCACCGATGCACAAGTAGTACATCGATGCATACCTTCATTAAAAGATGAAGTTGGCTTTTCTCTTAGTCTAAGGAGTGATAGTTTCGAATATATCAATTAGTATACTGATAAGTATAAATGTATTATTATGTAGATATAGAATGAAAGCTTGTTCCGGAATAAACTAAGGATTAGGATTGATTCAAAGCAAACGAGGCCCAGGTGAGTGCATACAAGTTAGTTTATGATGTTTAATGGAAATAAGACTTGTGACGAGTCTATTTCCTATATTAGAATGTATGAATTTATGATCATATGTATATGTTTGATTTGCGTATATATGATATAAATTACAGTAGGTGTTAAATGATTTGTGTGAATACATGTAGTGTGATCAGTTATAGGAACTAATATGAATGATCTATATGATTGCATGGGAAGTGAAATAAGTTATATGATAGATGACCATACATGTTACAGGGTATAGATGATCAATTATGAGAATCAATATAATATATTTATGACTACATGAGATGGGTGATGAGTTAAATAAGACCAGACTATAGAGTAATATGAGAATATTTAAGAGAATAATATATAAATCAGAAGATAATAAATTAAGAGACTTTATGAAAATGGTATACATAAATTAGGGGACATGAGCATAACAATGAAACGAACCTATAGGATAAACACTATAGGAAAAAGTGATATGACGTATAGGTATTTCTATTATAATGTTACATGATATTTATGTATGTTAAATGAATTATGTAATGGTATAAGAAATGATATGAATTATATAGGCGAAAACATGTATATGTTATGAGATAAGACATATGACTATGAGTTATGTGAAAAAGAATACAAGTAAAGGTGAAAAGCTATGTGATACGTGATATGTGAAAGTGAATTACATGTTTATGTGAATATTTGAAATGAAATAAATGATAATGCCCATGTTATATGTCATGAGAGCTAGGGGTATAGTTGGCATGCCAAGAGTCGAGGGTCTACGCGGTCCTTCGGGACATATGTATATTCTTTGGAACATTTATGAGGTCTTTGAGACACATACTTGGTCCTTGGTATATGTATATGATTCTTAAGGAATGATATGTGGTCCTTATGGACATTATTATATGGCACTACGGTGCATTTCTACGCGGCACTTTGGTGCAATTCTACGTGGCACTACGGTGCATTTCTACGCGGCACTTCGGTGCATTTATACGAGCTGTGGTGATAGCATTAGTGCATAACCTCTATAGACTCACATATATATAGTTCTCACAAGTGTATCATGGGCTAATCAAAGAGATAACATAAATACAATATATATATTGTATATGCTTTTGGTGATAGGAAATGTGTTACAGGAATTATGATTTATGGGTGTTTCTTGGTGAAATGATATATGTGTGATATGATATACAGAAATTATAAGTACAAGATCATGTGATAAATAATGTGATGATAATGATAATAATATATATGATAATGCTAAGAAAGTAGATGATGATATATGTACATGAGTGTATTTGTTATATAAAAAGGTGTGTGATTTTGTATGAAATTGTTATATGATTTTGTATGATAAGTTAGTATTAAATGTTCATGTGGTTTGTTATATGGAATGTTTTATAATTTCTATTATATGTTTTATTTACCTCACTAAGTCATCGACTTAGCGTGTGATTGTTTCACACGTAGGTTCGAGAAGAATATAGAGAGCAATGTGGAGCAAGACAGGTCAGTATCTCCTTTACAAAGTTCAGATCAGAAAATATAAGTATTTGGCATGTAAATAAAGATTTGAATCCGATATACTCGAATTGGTTTTGTAAAATCATATGATACTAATTTATGTAAATTAGTCAATTGTATTTAGTAAAAGTTTTAAAATTATTCACTATTTTGTTCAAGTAAAGGTTTTGAAAAGTCAATGTGACATCTCAGACTCGTAGCCAGATCGGGTATGGGTTGGGGGTGTTACATTTAATGGTATCAGAGCTACAGTTTAGCCGATTCTAGGCATAAATCGAAGTAAAAAGTGTTTTAAAAAGTATACATGCCAACAAGAGTGAATAATTTCTGATCTGATAGTGTAAGGAGTGTATTGTCTTGCTAATAGAATTAAAATGTTATGTTATATTAGATGTATGATCATGAGAGCTTCCAAAGTGAAGCACAAGACAATAGACTGAAGGTAATAGCATTCACCTGCCCTGACCAGGCAGGGAGAAGAGCGAAAAACCTCAGGGAATGCCTGTACAAGATTAGAAAATGTCTTCATGATGTTGAATAATATTTTGATGCGTTTTCAATTTTCCACTTCTTTAACTCATAGAATGAATGTATCGAAGTAGTTGAAAAGTTAAGAGCACCCGAGTTCAAGGGTGGATTTGAGGAAGATTCTGTTGTTACAGACCTTTGGGTTAAATGATATGAAGATAATGATTAGAAGGTTTTCATTGTTACAAATGGAGAAGTTAAATTGAGTAGTTTCGTTACTAAGTGGACAAGCTAGAATATGGTGAACAAGTGTCACCATAAGAGCGTTAAAGGATCAAATGATGTGGTTAGAATTGTAAAAGAGTTCAAGAATAAGTGCATCAATGATATATTTATAAGATGAATGAAATTAGAGTTATGGATTTGAATCAAAGGGGTAGTATTGTGTATAAGTAAGATTGTGGATATGATAAAGGTTTATATTCCAGATGGAAAGAGTTAGCGTTGGCTAACAAGATTGTGTGATGAAATGTATTGGAGTTATAAGATTTTAAGATATTGTCAGGATATGATGGCCAAATATGAAGTGAATCTGGATACAGTTGTATAATGTGATCATAGTGAAGTGATATAGTGAAGGAAGTGAGGATTTGTATGTTTGAGTAAA